CCCGGGGACAGCCCGGGGACAGCCCGGGGACAGCAGGTGGCAGCGGTGGCTCGCTGCTGAGGCTGCAGCGCTCGCACGGCTCCTGCAGGGAAGGAGGGACCCGCAGCAACGCTGCTGCTGCTTCCGAGGGGCAGCTCGGGGAGGAACTCAAGCTGTAAATCCCCAGTTTTGCCAAGGAAACTCTGGATTCCGACCCAGAACCGAGGGTTGTCTCAAACACCTGCAATAAATTTGGGCAACGTTTGCAGGCTTTTGCCCAGTAAGAGCAGCCATTCATCTCCACCTGAACCGAGACCGGGTTTGGTCCAAAACCTCCCTCGTGTCAGTAAAAGCGTCTCTGCAGCAGCTCAGGGTGATTCAACTCAACAGCTTTTACCAAAAACACCGAACCACTGCAGCTTTTTGTAGGATCCCAGAATGGTTTGGGTGGAAGGGACCTTAAAGCCCATCTCAACCCAATCCCACCCCTGCCATGGGCAGGGACCCCTTCCACTGTCCCAGGCCACTCCAAGCCTTGTCCAGCCTGGCCTTGGGCACTGCCAGGGATCCAGGGGCAGCCCCAGCTGCTCTGGGCACCCTGTGCCAGGGCCTCACCTCCCTCCCAGCCAGGAATTCCTTCCCAGTATCCCATCCATCCCTGCCCTCTGGCACTGGGAGCCATTCCCAGTGTCCTGTCCCTCCATCCCTTGTCCCCGTTCCCTCCCCAGCTCTCCTGGAGCCCCTTCAGGCCCTGGAAGGGGCTCTGAGCTCTCCCTGGAGCCTTCTCCTCTCCAGGTGAGCACTCCCAGCTCTCTCAGCCTGGCTCTGTGAGATCAGGGCTCCTCCAACACCACAGAGCTTCCAGCAGGTTACACATCTGCCCCGTGTGACTCCAGAAAGCCAAGCTTGGAGCTGCACCGTGGCTCTCCAGAACCTTCCAGACACAACAAAATCCCTGCCCCTAGAGCAGCTTTGCCAGCTCTGGGTGTGGTGGAGTCCGGGGCACATTGCAGGGAACACGCAGGACTGACAGGACAAGTCGGCCCTCGGCAGCCACGGGAACACGAGCACAAAGGTGGGAGAGTGGAGAACATCCCCAGAGCCAGCCTGGGGAAAGGACAGGGAGAGCCAATGCCACAGAGTGCCAGGGACAAACTAAAATCCAGGCAGGATTCAGCCCACGCTGGGGGCTCCCTCCTTGCTGTGGGGGAACGTTGTGAGCAGCACTTTCCCCTCTCCACGGGCAGCGTTGGAGGCAGCTGCAGGAGGACAGCAACGCGATCCCTGTCCCTTAATAATCCATAATCAACTTTTCCTGACTATCTCCCAATTCCAGCTCCTGCAGCACACGCTGCCTTTCTCTCTCCAGAGGCGCAGGGACCACGGCTCCCACGGAGCTTTGGGCAGTGATTTTCCCTGGTGGTGTCTTAGGAGGAACTCCCGTTCCCCAGGGCTGTCTCGGGACATCCCAGCCCCAGGGAGCTGCCGGCCGGGGTGGGCACGATGGCAGTGTCACCACAGCTCATTTTTAGCACCCAAACGCACCGGCGTGGGGACAGGGGGCGGTGCTGCTCCTGCAGGCACGGCCAGCCCTGGACACGACACCCTGCAGCCAGGGATGTTCTCCAGCTGCTGCAGAGGCTGCGAGAACCAAACAGGACAAGCTGGAGATGTGGCAATGAAATCATCACTCGCAGGACTCACCCTGGGCGGGCTGCGGGCGAGGGGAGGCTGGGCTGGCCCAGGCTCCTCTTCTGGAGCTCTGGCTGAGCCCCTTTCTCCCTCCGGTCATTCCAGGCTGGCTGTGGCGCCACCTCCCCCGATCTCCTCTCGAGGCGAGGGCTTCAGCCCTGGCTGCAAACTGGGGGGGAACAGGAGGAGGGTCCTGGCAGCGCCTCAGGCGGAGCTGGAGCATGCAGGGAGGTGCGGGAAGCTGCGGGCTGAGCGCAGCAGGGCCCTTTCTCAGCGAGCACAGGCAGCTGCTGAGCCCCTGCAGGACACGGGGCTGGGCTG